CTAGTACCCATAGCTGTGCCTTGTCTTTGAATGTAAAAAGTGTCTAAAAACCAAAAATAGTTATTTGTTAAAATAATTTTTATCCCTTCTAAAATTGTGGAATTTTATTATCCGTTTTTAATCTATTTAAAACTGCTTCACACCCTAATTCGTGGGGCATTATGGTGTACAAAGACTGGACATCACAAGTGACTAGAATAAAATCTGGATGCCAGGTAAAATTTTCTAAAAAACGTAAGAGAGACATGGAATCTTTTAAGTATGACCGCATAAGTCTGACTGATGGTTGTAGTAAAATGTCAATATACTCTGATAAGTTTGATAAAACAGAATTGATCCCGGAGACAATAGGTCTACCTGGTGGATTGGTCTCATTCTTGTGTATCTTTGGTAAAAAGTATATAACTGGAATTTTTGGATGAGGTATATTTAAATAAGCAAATTCTTTTTTGTTGAGGATATTGGAATTTAAGCCTTTGGTTAAAAATGATATAAGGGAGTTTTGGATGGTATGGGTTGGGTCTGATAGTAGCTTGTCATATACTTTGGAGTCATTAAGCTGTCTAAATGCTTCTTTGATGTACATTTCTTGTGAGAGTATAACTAGGCCGCCCCCTTTATCGGCTGGTTTGATGACTATTGTGTCATCTTTTTTAAGATCTGTGAGAGCTTTTCTTTCTTGAAAGGTTAAGTTATATTGGTTATATTTATGATATTTGTGGTTGTTTTTTTTGGAGGTATTAATTTTTTCTAAGTCTTGCTTTACCAAATTCTCAAAAACTTCTATCGGGCCAGATTTGAAACTTGATGGGTAAAAATTAGAGTTATTCTTAAGGGTGGTGTTTTTCACTGGTATCTCGTCATTAATACATGGAGGTGTGGGGGAATAGTTGGTCTGTCCCTGGTTAATAGATTGATTCTCAATTCTGCTGCTAAAAAATCTTTTTAGTGTAGCTTTCCTAACAAACTTATTTAAATCTAAAAAGGCTTGGAATGGTTGATAGGGATTGGTAGGTGCAAATTTGAGGCCCTTAGTTAAAACCGATATTTGGGTAGTAGTTAAAATTTTTTGGGAAAGGTTAAAAATTCCATGAGGGTTGTCTGTATTAGTTAGTGTCTCTCTAGTCTTTCTCTTTTGAAATCTTCTGCCACTTCTCCTTCCTCTAGGCTTAGATTTCTCTTTTTTGTTCTGGGTAAGTAAGGTGTGGCAGTAAGTGGATTTGGGCCTAGTTCTAAAAAATGATCCTCAGTGTCTGTGTCCAAATCTGTAGATAACACTTGGTATCTGTTAGGATGGTGTGTCGAGGGTAGGTGAGGGGGTGTGCTGGGATGGGTGTGTTTGAATGTATGTCTGAATCTTTGAGGTCTGGGTGTGAGATCAGGTCTTTGTGGGATAGTCATGAATGGGACAGGCTTGGTGGGCCTGGGTTTAGGATAGTTGGAATAGGAGGGTGAAATGGTTGGGGGTGAGATGTGGTGGGAAGAGCTGTGATACTTCTGTGGTGGTGGTTGGTGGTAGTTGTGGTGCCTATCATATGACTGTTGTATCTCAATAGAATATGTAAGGTATTGTGAGTTTAAAACCTCGTTTTTAATTTTAAACTATCACATGTTTCACATAAAGGTATGTACTCACTTACACATATAAAATTTAGCACTTTTGAGAAAAAAAAAAAAATTATGACATCATTTTGGCGCCATTTTCTAATATGTTCACTGCCTATATAAACCTGTATGTAACAGGATGTACTTTCTGATCTCCACTTGATAAAGCCTAAGGGCGAAACGCGTTGTGGTTTTTTTAAACTATATTGTTTTAAATAAAGATATTTTGGCCACTTTTTTACTGTGAGTTAGCCATCTTACATTTTATTACTATTATTATTTTACTTTTTTATTACTACCATCTTTTTATCCGGCACAGAAGTGTTTTTACTTTCCAGTGAGGATATTACTCCCAAGAATCCTAGGTGGGGATTATACCACTCAAGCTGTATTCATTGAACAGTCAGTCTGTTCAACTAAATGTGAGTAACCACTTGGTTTTTTATCTTCTCACCTCTGGCATTTTATACTTTGAGCACCATTGTTGTTCCTGCTTTTATTTCCACATATGGTTCCCTAATCAAGAAAGAATACTAAGACCTCACGTATCCCATAAGTGGGGATTATACCACTGTACGTTATCAACACTAGAGCTAAGTCCATAGCTCTTGAAAACGTGAGTAGGACCATATACTCTTTTATTGCTTCTACCCCTTTCGGGACATACTATACCATCAGTTGTTATTTTCTCATTTCATATGTTGTACAAAGACGCATCTACACCACTCTGAAGAATCCCCCACTACAAAAGACTGTATTCACCTCTACAAAGATATTTGTTTGATTCATCTACCAGTCAGACTATTTATTCTGGACTTCTATTTGCTTACTATCTATCATATATATTGCATTCCAGTCTGCCTATTCTGTGCTCTTTTATTTATGTGGTTTATAGTGGCGCTGCCTTCCTTTCTTTTTTCTGAAATAGTGTTAATACCTGATATTATCGGTCTTCCAGGTGGATTTTGAATATTTTTATGAATTTTAGGTAAAATATAGAAGACTGGGATTTTAGGAGTTTCTACAAACATATAATCGGCTTCTTTTTCATTTAATATTCCTAACTCCTTACCCTTGTTTACATACTCTTTAAAAAACATAATAATTTTCTGAGTTTGGTTATGGGTTAGTTTCTGATAAGTAGACTGATCTGAAAGTATTCGTTCCGCTTCTGCGACGTATTGTTCTTTATTCTGAATCACTATTCCACCTCCTTTATCTGCTGGTTTCACTATTAAGTTTTCATCATTTTTCATTTCTTTAAGAGCCCTTTTTTCTCCTAGTGTTAAGTTATGTTGATATTTATTAATTTTCTTTAATTTTTCCACATCATTCATAACCATCATTTCAAATGATTTAATTTCATTAGAGATAAGATGTCTCGGAAATTTTTTTGATTTTCTCTTTTAAGGGCGTATGAAGATATTCATCCTCTTTTTCGACCACCTCCATTTTCTCTTTATTGTTAAAAAACTTTTTTAAACACAATTTTCTTATAAAATGATTTACATCTACATAAAAATCAAACGCTTTAAAATCGGCAGTAGGGGCGAACTTTAAACCCTTTTTAAAAATATTAATGTGTTCTTCGCTTAAAATTTGGCCCGTTAAATTAAAAAACGAGGTGAAACGCGTTTTGCAAACAGCCATAAGGACTACCTTCAGACTGTAAGGTTTTTTTTATTTACTTTTAACAGTTTTATGGAAATTTTTGTGCACTTTACTGAATAAAGCACTATATTGATTTACAACTTCTTGAGAAGAGATCCTGTTGTTGGGATATCCCAGACCATAGAAAGAAGGGAGTGGGTCCCTTGAGTACCCACAGTGCTTCAACCTTTGAGCCTACCCAGTGGCTCTATGTTTGTGAGTGCTCCACTACCTATTTACTACAATTATATATTGGGTATTGGCAATATTGCACTATTCTTTTTCCCTATTTGTGTTTTAATTTAGGGAATTTGTTAAAGAATATTATCCTGTTGAAGATATCTCCCTATTGGCCACATGAAACATTTTAATTTACCGTGTTGCCAAACTGTTGATTCTAAAAGGATTTACCAAATTATGGCATTTCTAGGGATACTCCTCCATCTGAGTAATGATCCAAATACCCTAGTTTAAACAAAAAGCAGATTGGTGTATACTACTAAAGCATGCAAACTTCTATCCGTAGAAATGAATAAGAGATGCTGCAGATATGCAGAATATCTGTGATGGGTTTCAAGTAATCATGCTTATTAATAATGCGCAATTCGTCTACCAACGCATTTCACTTGAATGGAAATCGCTCACAGATGTTCTGCATATACCGGAGAGGTTCCGGTTCATTGCTATAAACCTGAATTAATTTGTTGTAATAAGTATAAAGCATAAAAACATTGTCATACTTGCACACATGCTACACATGACAATTAATTAGTTCTTCTCTAGTCTAACACCCAAACTAAAGAAGTATTGTAAAACATTTTTAGAATTCTCAGAACTGGCGTGATTGCTAAGGAAGCCACAAATCACTGCACAGTTTAGCTAGTGGTGAATTAGAATGCATACTGGGATACTCAAAGTATAAGTTGCTTGTTCCTGCTCCAAATTAAAAGAATTCTTCAGCTGTAAAACAGATGAGCTGTATTTTTTATTTTTATTTTTGATAATGTATTAAGAGGTACAAGGGTGTGACCTCCAGTGGCCTTTTAAGAAAGAAAAGGCATGAGAATGTGTAACCATTAAAGGGTTACTCCAACCACCATAATCACTGCAGTTGCCGAAGAGGTTATGATGGTAGGAGTACCCTGGCACTGTTCCCCGGTAATGAGAGAAACTGATTTACAACAGTTTGCTCTATTACCTGGTTTCCGGTCGAGTTCCTTCTGCTGCAGTAGCTGGATACTGCTCATTAATTGGCTGAGTGTCCGCTTATCGATCTCAACCAATAATTGACATTCTGTGCATATAAATATGCACAGAATTGACAGCTGGCAAATGACACCCCAATAATGCTACTTGAGTTGGAGTTGCACCTCCAGAAGCAAGGGGTTATAATCGGTAAAAAGATGCATATACAGACTCTGGGCACCATGACCAATTTAAATCACTGTAGTGGTAATGGTGCCTGCAGTAACCCTTTAACTGTTTTATATTGCATTGTTCAAATTTCTGTACACAATTTTTGTTATTCTCTCTATATTTGCCTTTTTTTTTTTTTTTTACTTTATTTTCTTTAACATATTTTCATGTTTCTGATCCTATAGGGGAGCCATGTGTCTGCAATGGAGCCTAGCTAAAAGGAATTTTGTGTAACTCATGCTTTTTTTATAGAAGAAAATATACACAGAACAATAGTCATATAGAAAAAAAACATGAAATTTATTATGACATTTTCAAGTGAAAGGTGTTTATACAGTGACAATGATGGGTGAGGTGTGGGTTTTATACAGAGGGAAGTTTGCTTTCAAGAAAAGATGAATGATCCACTGTGTCAGGCCAGTAAGGGGTTAATAAGACAGATATGGCTATGCAATGCAAAATAACCCCTTAAGGACAGAAGTACTAAAATGTTTAATTTTTGACGCCCCAGAGGATTGTCCATCAATCCATTTGCTACCAAGGGAGGTCTGTTATACTCTGCTCTACAGTGCATCACAGGCTCCCCAATGCAAGCAAACAGGTTAATAGGAGGCAGGATTTGTGTTAGCATCCACTGTTCCTGCGCATAAATGCATGTCCTCGGACAGAACACTGCATCTCAATAAAGGCCAGAGGTCCCACTGTGACATCACAAGGGCCCACAGCTTTGAAGCCACATTTGGAGTAGAAAGGAACCAAAAAGTCTTCACACATTAGCACGGCCCGGCGTGCAAAAGGCAGGCAGCGCAGGTACTGGAGGTAACGCCAGAGAAGGATGGAGCCCTTTCCCTGTTGTCGAAAGGTACGGTGCACAGCAAGGACGTGGATGTGAACGGAGGACCCGTGCGGTTTGTGCAGTGTGAGAGCATCCTGCAAGGAGAGAAAAATGATTATTTAGCTAGTTAATTTCCTTGTTCAGGTATGTGCCCTACTTAATTGAGGGTTCTCCTTTCATCCATGATAATATACACCGCTTTTTATAGAAGAAAGAACCATGCAAGGTGGGAAACAATCACATACCAAAAAGACAGATGCCTAGAATATTAGCTTATAGCTATTGTCTTCAAACTGATAAGCATCATAATGGTGCCATCATGGCACTGCATTCAGAGTGTAGCTCCATCCTAGCACCATTTCTATTGGCTTTGAATGAAAATGTAGGAAGTTACTGAACACACCATCTTCGGTTTTATCCATTAAGCTACAAATTGAGAAAATTCAGGCCAAAATAATGAAGTTGGAACCGTTTTCCAAATGAAAGTGTTCCAACTGTAATATTTGCGTTTGAATGAAACATCTCCGTTCATTGTTTAATTATTAAATCTTGAGTTTAGGAGGCCTCACTGCTAGTGTCACAAACAACAATATAATGTTAGAAACCGCATTATAAAAAAAAAAAATTACACTATTATTAACATAACATTTAACAAGCATAGCTAAAATCAATAAGAAAAAAAGATTTTTATAAGTAGAGACTGTATCTGAAATTGGTACTGGACCTGCTTTATTAAAACAGCTTATCATTAGAGATGTCGCGAACCGTTCAACATGGATGCTGCCTTCAACATGGATGCTGTCCAGGAGGTGGGAGGGTCTGCTGGAGATTGGCCGGGATGTGTCAGCTGACTGGAGCTCACCGCGAACGGTTCGTGGCGAACCGCGGCGAGCCGTTTGCGGGTAGTTCGCGAACGGTTCGCGACATCTCTACTTAAAATGTTCAAGGTGACTCAATGCTGCAGCAAGGTCCAACTTCAAATTAATTTTTTTCCAAATATGAGATCTATTTATGTATTTCCTAAAATGTCTGCATGTCATATTTTCAAAGCATACACATCCCTTAACTCACTCCAAGTCCAATAAATAGCTGTCTTTATTTAATGCATCATATTCTGAAAAGTACAAATGATGCATTGACACTGCTATAAGGAGAACCTTAAATCATAGCATCTAACAAAAGGCCATCATGAGATATCCCTAAGATAGATTGGGCTTCAAACGGAAGCAGTTATCTATCTTCTTAATGTATCTTTGATTTTGAATTTCAAGCATATTTCAAAGAAGATAGAACATAACACCCCCTTCCCCAAACTGTTGGGAAAACTCACCTGGTTGAGCTTGTCCTGATCCCATAGAGAACCGATGATAAAAGCCACAAGCCGTCCCTCTTCAAACCATCCCAATGATAACTCAGGACAAAGGGTTAAGAAGTGCCGTACTTCATCCAGGTGGAGAGGACAGTCTCCGGAAACGGAGATGAATGCTATGAGGTAAGTGATAGAGAGAGAAAGGACTTAGGAAAATAGGGTAATTTCAAATGATGTGCTAAACCATCAATATTGGTAAAACTGGAAATTGCTTTAGATTTGGTTTATAACATTCTTTTTAATCAACACCAGAAAAGCGATGTGTGAAACGATTAACATGATGTACTTGAGTCTTGTAGCCTGTAATTCTATGTACAATTCCAATTGTCCTTCTCCTATTGACATATTTACCAGTTAGCAAACCTGTTCTAGTTTTACACCATGCAAAATCACTTACTAATTGGCAAGAGCAAAGGAGAATTTTGGGGAATGTGTTGTAAGCACAAAAATGGATGACTAAAAAGTTGCTAAACATTTTTAAATAATGTCAAATATAAAATAAGGCATACATCCTAAGTCTACAATAAAGAATGGTTTGGGGGCAGCAGGGCTTTGTAGACCTCATAAACTGCAAGACTCCAGATATAAATAGTTAAATTTTTATTTACGAAATAACTAATTTTCTCTCCCTATTTCATTGGAACACCATTTTTAGATATAAATTGTACGGTTCTTTTTTTTGTTTGTTTGTTTGTTTTTTTTATTAAAATTCTACTTATTTGGGTAAAGGTATCGCATAAGTTGAATGAACTTACCTTCTCTCTCAATTTCGAAAACACTGACTGCATCCTCGGGTGAGAGGCACCGGAATTCACTGGCCGGGAGAGTGTGACGTCTCTGCTGCCGTGGTGAGCGCAGATGGACTTGCCTCAGAAAGGGAACCGCATTCAGTACTGACATGACAGGGCTTGGGTGTCTGTCTTCTCCTGTTGTACCAGTCTCAGAACCTCCTACAGATAAATAGGCTCTTGTCACAGATGTCTTATAAAGGGTAACGTGATGACTCACCACGTGAAGGGCACTCAGTGTCACCTGTTATTGGCCACTGGATACATTAAAGTGTCCATTCACACTGATGAATATGCAAGTAAAATGAAACCCTATAATTTGTAGACTAGCAAACATTTCATTGGCATTGTATAAATTTGATGATTCTGTTGGCTCAGGCTTCACATCGAGCATATAATAATCTAAATATATTTATTTACTGTGTTAAATGACATGCTTTCCTGTGAGTCTTCTCAAAACAGATAAAAACATGGTGATAAATCTTACGTCAGAAAAGAACCCATTGGCCCGTCAAGTGTCTATACGTTTTTTTATTTACTAGTATTTTGCACAAACAATTCCCTGGTCTAATTAAGTTTAACTGGATCTGTTATTTATGTGTATAAAATAGGTATAAAAAAGGAACTTGATATTTTTACATAGCAGATAAAACTGGGGTGGAATATTTCTGCACCCCCAAATCGACTCTAGAAGCCAGTTACCACCGCCATTGTTGGTGTCTTGCTTGACAGCTAACATTCTCACACTTGAGTATGAATACAGAATGAAAGCCCTATGAGACGCCCTATGTTAACATGCTCTTGAAACACAAGTAGTTTTTTTAACCAATTATTACACTGGTCATAAATGCTTTAAGCATATATTAGTTTTGTCCTGCCAAAAGGAGGAAAAATTTCTTCTAATCAAGTCCCTAGTTTGTGTTCCAGAAAGTGGGGGGGGGTTTTGTGTGTAATTTCTTTTGCAGGTAAAAGACCTATAATAATGAATTTATTATAAGTGCCAAGTAACCAATTTGTTTGATAATGCATTCCATCAAAAAGAAACTGTGTGAGTCAAAGAAAAATATACTGCTCTACTTTTTAAATGTTTCTAAAAGAGCATATGCAACCCAATTGTTCTTAGTCTCTATATTGAACCAAAAAGGGTCATCTGTAAATCCAGAACTGAATTGCTGACGTCAATGACTTATCTAGAGGAATATCTAATATTACCCTTGACATTTATAAAAAATAAATTATTTTTTAAAAACTCCACATCCAGAACGCTATAGTGTTTGCATAAAAGTAAAGCTAATTGCCTCAACATGAATGCACAATAACTGATGTTGGGAGTCACCAGTTCTCCTTAAACATTTTGAACTAATCCTTACTCAGAAGTAATTTCACTGAAGCGTTCAGTCTGGATCACAGTCAAATTATCAAATGCTCTAATATAAAATAAAGAAAGTTTAGCGCTTTAATTAAAAACACATGAATCTATGCTCATTAACAAAAAATAGGAATTTACACAGATTTTGGTATAAATTACCATTAAGTAAAAAATATATAGATTTAGTTCTATATATAGTTAGTTCTATCTGTATGCAAAACAAAAATAAGAGGACAAATTAAATGATTCCCAGCAAACCGTACAGTTAACTTGAAATCTACAACAAGCCGCTTTCCACTTCAATTCTCAGATAAGAGCACTGAAAGGGCTGCAATTTGTTTTCATTGAACTGGGTGATAAAAGTCTTTATCAGATTAATAAACCCATGGAAGCATTCTAGATACCTCTAGTCCTATTCACTATACCGCAAGTTACACAAACAGTCCTAATGAGTTCTGATGAGCTGAGATTCACTGATATCAATGGTGGCCCAAGTTCTTTCTTAGTTTCAGAGTCCTGGTAGCAGATCTCTGTAGAAGTAACTCTGAATATTGGTGGGTACCTACACATAGGGGTGCCTGCCAGATCTAGGTTTTACAAATTATACTGTGCTGCAAGTTGTGATAGGATAGTATTAAAGCACATAATGCGTAAGTATATCAGAATACGGTTTTAAGAATGAGGCAAAATCAAAATATCAATAACATAAAATATAGCGAACATCTCTGTGAAACACTATATTGCCCCTATATGTTACATTTGGGAATATTACACCATTTATTGATGTCTTAATTTATAGTGTAGAGTAGTGTTTGCAATGTTCCTTTATAGTGTAGAGTAGTGGTTAGTAGCAGAATGAAAGAAATTGTAAGTTGGCCCTTATACAAATTTATATAAAGAGTTATGAAAATAATATAGACCAAATTAATGAAAACTAATCTTTTTTTTGCTTTCCCTTAGAGATACACAATTAAAACGGTGAACATTTATCAAATTAACCAAAAAATAGAGTGCTCTAATTTCTAGATATATTTTTTTTTATTATTTTTATTTTTTATTTTTTTACAGTGCATACAGTAAAAAAAATACTTATAGCATAATAAAATTATATGAAAATTGCACATTTGGAAATAATTTCTAATATGTTACTATGTAGCAATATACACACCAAAAAATTGAATACATACTGTAAGTACAGTATACTTTTTGGTTAATTTGACAAAAGTATTAAAATCAAAAATAGAAAAGTAAAAATAGTGGAAGCTTATAACTTTAAATAAAAACAAATGAATCCTTGTGGATTACTGTGATATTTTTGTTGTTTATATCAACATTGAAAGGACCACAAAACAAATGGTTAATGGTTTTTAATTTATGTTCAATGAATAAAACATTTCTGGAATGGATGGATCAGAGGAGAAAATAAACCGTGTTATGTTTTTTTAAAAACCATGTCTGATTATTTAAAAGCTTCTATGTGTTTTCAGTGAACTGCTATAAAAACATAAATATTGGAGGAATTAAGTAATTTTCTGTAAAAGCATGTGCCGTGTTAATTGCTGGGCTCAGAGAAAATCCTAAACATACGTCAGCTTTTAATTGCTGGGGTTTTTTTTTTTTCATTCATATGTAAATAGACGAGGAGAGGTTAGTAAAGTGGGTACTTAAAAGGTGGAAGGGTTGCAAGGTGGCTGTGGTGTTGGCAGCCTAAAGAGGGCGGTTTATTGATTCTTTACATTGTGTAGATTTAAGGACTCTATAAAACATATCTAACCTATTCATTTTAGACAATAAGAATATAGGGATTATAAAAATGCAAACTATATTTCTATCTATAGAAATCTCTAGGGTATAAAGGGTTAATACTTTCAGACTGGTGAAGTCAAGTCATTGGCTTTCACAATGAGTTAAGTAAAATACAATGATTTAGGAGGAGGGAGGGGGAATAAAAGAGATAATGCCTATATGTATCAGCCTGTAACAATCGTAGGATGCCCCCTAAAAGAACATTGATAATGGAACTGTAAATTATAGGTCAAAAAGGCATAAATGTAAACATTCTCCAACTTGGCTATCCTCTACGTGCATCTGTTTGGTGTAGTATTTGCAATACTTGATCATTCTACATCTGTTCCTGTTTAATGAATATTTGCACAGAATATGTGTTCGTGATTTTTTAAATAATTTGTTTTTTGCAGTTTTGTAAGTGGAAGGGAGGCCTCCTATAAAAGGTTACATGAACTGTAAGTATGTATATACAAGAACATTAATAATTCTATAGCAAAATAACACTGATCTGTATTTAAATTTATTTTCTTGTATGTTTTCGTAAATTATATTACCTACCTTAGTTCAGCACTGGCCTCAATGAACAGCTCCCAAGCAGGGCTAACAAAGATTGATGGCAGACTGGAGTTAGTGGTTGTCCAGATCCTCCTTGTGTAATGATCTCCTGAGCATCCTGCTTATGCCATCCTCTTAGTTAAGTTGTTTAGCACTCACGTGACTCTTCTATAAAGGGTTTAGGATTCTTCTGGTTACAGACAGGGGAAGAAGCTGTCACCTCGTCACTCTCCTTATATTAGCTCGGCTATTGTCTTGCTTCATACTGTTTGAACTGATTGGTATCTTTGATCATTTTTTGCCTGTACCTGCTTAGGGTTGTTTAGAAGAACAGTCCAGGCACCAGAACCACAACAATTCATCCTGGTGATTGTAAGTAATCAAACACTTTTTGATCAGTTTGACTTCTTACCTAAGGTCCTCTGGGAACCACTCCCCACCTCCATTATTAACGCTAGGAAGACAGAAGTTTCTTATCTGTTAGTTCCATTGGCTTTTCTGAGATACTCTATGCAGCCCTGAGAGCAAACAAACAAACACACACACAAAAAACACAGTTGAAAAACCATAAACTATCTGAGATCAGAAGATGGTAAATCAGAATTTAATTAAAAAAGTGCAGGAACAGAAGGGAACTCTGTTCCTGGAATTTATGACTTATCCTAACAGAATCCTGATTTCCAGATCTCCAAAAGCTTTTGGCATCCCAATGGTCCATGGACTCCACAGGTCAAAAAGGTCACTAAATTAGCTCCTATCAGAAAACAAAGAAAAGCTTCAAAATCTGTCAAACATTGCCTCGTTATAGATCTCAGATTGGAAAACTTAAGCATCCACAAATTTATTCTTCAATATGCTAGATATGGATGTTCACTATTGTTTTAAACATTTACAACAATACAACAATGCTTCCTCTTTTTTAAACATTTTAGTTTTTTTTTTTTTTTTCATTGGACAATAGAGTGAGCCGTTTAGGCCTGACCAAAGATGTCTTTACAAATATTCTGGCATTATCATAGATATAGCTATGCTTTTATTTATATAGCATTAAAATACCAAATTTACCAGATAATTAGCTATATAGTGTAGACAAGTTGGTACAGGAACCCTCATGCCCTACACCGCATGAACGCATTGCTATCAGCAGAATGTTGGTGGGAGATGTGGTGCAGAGATGGGTACAAGTCTTCATATTTGGTCTTGCCCAATGATAACTACATTTTGCAAAATGATAAACATGAAGATTAAAGGCATCACGGGCTTAGACCTGCCTCTGCAGCCACTCTCCATGCTCCTACATCACACCAAGACAACAATAGCGGCTTGCCAAAATTTGCTAACTGAATATTTTCTCACCTCAGCAAAACCCTTGATCCTGCTTCACTGGAAGCAGGCGGGTGTGCCTACCTTCCAGCAATGGATAGCCAGGATAGAGGAAATCTGCAAAATTGAAATGCTAACTGCAGCCCTTAATGGCTGTACCAATAAGTGCACCCTAACTTGGACTCCCTCGCTTGACTACACAATAAAAATGAACCAACCGCCTTAAGTCCCTTAAGGTTACCAGGAATGGCCCCTCCCCAGGAATTCCCCATAGTTTCAGCCTACTCTGCAACTACGTATCCCCATCCCCTTTAAATCATTTTTTTTTCTTCTCTTATCTACACTCTAATTTTTTTCTCCCCCTCTAGCCTTTACCCACTTGTCTTCCCCAGTTCCCCTAATAATCATAATACCAAATTTAAATGTCAAGCTGGTTGTAGGCTAAATGGGGCCTAGTTCTCGCAACAAACAATGACCCACTATTAATGAGCCAGTTATAGGGAACTTGCCAACTGAAATGTACCCGACTCTGTCAGGACAGAAAGTACCTCCCCTGGATTTAGGCTCTCCACATCTTCTCATTTTGCATTTGTATCCTGTGTTACCTATCTCTCTATAATCTCTTTTGTATGTGCATTTCTTGGTCCTATATTTTTTTTGTTTTTGTTATTTCTCGATGATAATAAAAAAATTTTTTTTAAAAAAAGGTAAAATACCAGATGCTTCCAGACCAAAGTATTGTTTTGGTAAAAGAACACTACAGGGTCACTACAGGGTGTATTCCTGACCCTGTGGTATTAAAAACACTGTTTTTGTGGCCAGCACCCCTTATATAGGATACAAATTTACCTTGCTGGCTCCACCCCCGCTCCACCTCCTTGGCTGAGATCTTTAGAATTGACCATCTAAACCAAGGAGACAGGGGTGGAGCCAAAGCTGTGCTGGCCAATCAGCATATCTTCATATAGATGTATTGAATCAATGCATCTCTATGTGGAAAGTTCAGCATCTCCATGCAGCGTGCAGCACTGGTCCAGGAAGCACTTCTAGTGGTCGTCTGAGTGACTGCCATTAGAGGTTTTACTAGGCCTTTACTCTCAAGGCAGTGTTTACAGCAAAAAGTAGTTCGTTTTGTTCCGAATGTTAATTCGGACGAATTTCGGGCAATTCAGACATTCGGATACTTCCGAATGTCCGAATAGCTAAATTGTCGAAGTTCCAAAGCACAGTATTGCCGAAGTACTAATATACCTACCCAGTGGAAGAATGAAGAATGTTACACTGGATACAAGTGTAAATAAAAAGTATACAAACATAGCCAGGATTCAGCTGTAAGAATTTGCAACACTTACAACAATGAAGTAACACACATTCATATAAAATGTAAGTTACTTAGCCTGTCAATGGAATGACAGGAATGAATAAGTAGATAACCCCCTAATTCCCACGATATTAGGGAGCTATCTACTAAAAGGCTGAAAGACCTAAATTGGTCTTTCAGACAAATTTACTAATACTAAGTAAAGATTACTTAGTATTAGTAAATTATGCCACTACTCGCTATACCGCAAGTAAGGGCATGTCTATTAAACAGTGAGCAGCCTGTGAAAGTAACCAATCGGAGTGTTGTTATGAGTCAAATTACAAAGAACTTTCCCACGCTGTGTAAAATGACACAGAGCACTCTGGCTGGATTTCAAGCTAACCAATCAGAGTGCTGTGACAGGTAAATGTAGAGACTTACCTGTCAGTCTCTTCATTTACCTGTCAGAGCACTCTGATTGGATGGCTTAAACCAACAAACCAGAGTGCTCTGAGCCTAATTGCAGGGCGGGGCAAGGCTTTATAAGCCTTCCCCCACCCTTCAGAGCTCAGTCTGTGCGGAGCCCTCCGTCTGTACGGAGCCCTCCATGGGTGAAGATGGATAATTTTTTTTGCGCTCATTTTGTTTTTTTTAAAGTGCGATGGATATTATGGATTTTTATTTGGCCTTTTTTGGGGCTGGAAAAACAAGATTTTAGAAGAAAGAAGACATCAAATGGTAAGTTTTTAGATTTTTTACAGGTACATATTTATTGGTCCCCCCTCACTTTTTTTAGGGTGAGGGGGGTAGGTAGGGGCTAGTAATTTTTTGGGGAGGGTGTGACTAGGGGTTTGGGGACCCCTAGTAACCTGGGGGGTATGTTTTTACAATAGGTACCCCCACCTTATTCTAATTTAGGGCTCAGGGGGTGGGTGCCAGGGGAGAGAACAATAGGTGTGTCCCCCCCTTATTGGTATTTAGGGACCCACCCGCCGCTAATTTAGGGCCCCCACCCACTGCTCAGGGGTGGGGGATGGGGGGGAGGACAATAGGTCCCCCCCCATTTTTCTGATTTAGGGCCCCCACCCATGGCTCTGGGGGGGAGGCAATAGGCCCAGGCTGCTCACTGTTTAATTGACATGCCCCTTTTAGCGTTATAGTACACCTCTATATCCTCTACCCGATCTTACAGGAAGCTGCTCATTGCTCTCAGTGAGCAATTTCCTGTCAGATCCTCTACAGCGATCTGCGCAGCCACGCTACATGGAGTGGTGGCAGGAGGGGAACGCTGTGCCACCTTGGGATTGTGCTCTGTACCGGCGCTGGTGGAGGGTCTTTAGGAAGTCGTTTTTTCTACACTAGCAATGTCCCATGAAACTTTTTACAAAGAAACAATAGTCAACTGTCCCAGATTATTAAATACCTGGCCACACAGGTGCAAAGTCAGATATTCTTGTGGATGGCCCCTGTTAACAGATAGTAGGCCTTATCACTGATTATTAGCATTTTAGTGTGCAATTACCCCAGAGCCGGTGACATCATATAACCTATAAACATACACATAACTGTCGGCTCTTAGATTGCCGAGAATGAGGAAGCAGGTGCCAAATCACATATTTATAAAGTAGGTATTTTGTCAACAGACTATAGGCTTCAATTTTCCACAATATTCTGCAGATATCACAATGCAGATAACACAGCCAAATAACTTTTTACAGACAAGCAGTACGTGGCTGATTCAGTCATTTCCTGGCAACAGGGACTAGGTTTTAACTATAGTCTGTAGATATCCAATGTATATAATCAGGGCCCCCATCAGAAATGTTGGGGCCCCTGACAAAGCACAAGGTCAGGGGCCCCCTTCAGTCCCCCGGGCCCGCCCACACCCTACCTAGCCCGCTGACAATGATGCGGGACTGAATGTGGTGTGTTTAGTGGAAGTGAATTAGAATGTGTGTAATGGATGTAGTGTTTGTGTGTATTAGATACTGTTTGTGCAGTGAATGCAGTGTGTGTGTTTGTGTAGCGGATGCAGTGTGTATAGTGAACGCAGAGTGTGTTTGAGTAGTTACATAGTTACATAGTTACATAGCTGAAAAGAGACTTGCGTCCATCAAGTTTAGCCTACCTCACATTTGTTTTTTTGCTGTTGATCCAAAAGAAGGCAAAAAAAAAAACAGTTTGAAGCACAATTTTGCGACAAGCTAGGAAAAAAATTACTTCTTGACCCCAGAATGGCAGTCAGATTTATCCTTGGATCAAGCAGTTATTACCCTACATTGAAAGATTATATCCTTGAATATTCTGTTCTTGCAAGTATGCATCTAGTAGCCGTTTGAACATCTGTATGGACTCTGATAAAACCACTTCTTCAGGCAGAGAATTCCACATCCTGATTGTTCTTACAGTAAAAAAACCTTTCCTTTGCCTTAGACGAAATCTTCTTTCTTCCAGTCTAAACACATGGCCTCGTGTCCTATGTAAAGTCCGGTTTGTGAATAGA